CGGCAACGAATCACAACGAGACGCTGACGTGACGTCAGTGACTTTCGAAACAAGAGGTCACCTGTCGCTGGTGGGGCGTCCAAGGCGCTGTTGCCCTAGCGCTCTAGTCCTAGCTTTCGAAATATCAACGGAGAAATGTGACGTTCACGTCCGTCACTTGGATCCACCGCGAAAAGAATTGACATGTCATTTTAACGGGCTTCGCACCGGTTATTTAGTTCGGGTAAGAGTTTGTTGATTATCCCGGGTGCCACAGCCCAAGCTCGCTGCATTCTTAGTCTCTCCGTAGAACGTCGGAACCCGCCCCTGATCGATCGAAATGTCAGTTTCTACCCACTAAGATAGTCGCGTGAACTATTGAAAGCTTTCGACACCGTGCATGACCACCACGAAGGCCGATAGATACGTCGTGAGCTTGATTGCGTAGCCAACGTACTACCGCGGAGCGAACGGGGTACCTGCGCTAGTTCGACCTGTAACGTTTACTACTAACAAGAGAAATAAAGGGAACCCAATCAAGGAATAAAGTGTACGTACCAGACGATGCATAGGCAATCCATACGGCGTTTATTTGAGCTTAATGTAAAAAAAACAGTAGACTCGATCGACGTGCGAGCGACGAGAGGTCCGCCACCAACGAAGCCACGACCGGCTAGCACCGAACACATTCCCCCGCACCACGGTCCACCCCACCGCTCGCAACTTCGAAAATGATAAGAGCGAACAACGAGGGGGGGGGGGAAACTGGCCTTCTATTCCGAAAACAAGGTCAGCTATTCATGCGGGAAGGGTCCACTTCGAAGAAAAGGTGGGGGGCATCCTGTTCTGAGTCAGCAAGGCGGGCCTAGCTGGGATTTGCTTGTGGGCGAAGTCGAGGGAATCGCAGGCAAGTTTGGCGGGCCCGTGCTTTGTTTTTCGCTGCCTGAACTCGTGATGCGTGCGAACATCCCGGAGAAAAATTTTCAGAGTGGCAAAATAGCAAAAGTTCGGCTTTGGATTGTTGATTAAAGTGGATTTTGGATTGTAAAACAGGGTTGCCAAAGCAAGTCTCAAAATATCACGCGTGATCGCCGAGAAACTGCCAGCCGCCTCTCGGTGTGTCTGAACGGGGTCACTCGCGAACCGCATCCGCAACCGCTTCACGAACGCGGATCCGCTTCCAGTGTGAATGCACCATGAGCGTTTTAAAACTGCTTTGTTGACGCTCGGTCCATACCCAAGTGATATCATTTTTCAACAGCTCGCGTAATTGTGCTGCGAGAGCAGACATATTTGGTATGAATCTTGCGACCAAATTCGTCAGGCCAAGAAACATTTGTAATTCTTTACGGTCTCTGGGCTCCGGAACAGCAAGGATATCCTCGACTCGTTCTGGGTCTAGGCTCAGACCTTTAATCGTAAAAATGTGGGCTAGGTACCGTACTTGGTCCTACAAAAAATGACACTCTTTTAGATTCAACTTCAGATCGTGTTTCTCGCAGCGTTCCAGCAAGTTCTTCAGGTTCGCGTCATGTTCTTGTATTGTGGTTCCCCAAACTAAAATGTCGTCCATGACGACTGCTACGTTCTTCAGTCCCTCTAGGATACCGTGCATTGGGCGCTGGAATACTTCTGGGGCTGAGGAAATTCCGAACGGCATGCGCAGAAACCTGCGTCTGCCATAATGGGTGCTCATGGTACAGATGTGCGAACTTGCCTCTCAAAACTTTACTTGCCAGAAGCCCGATGACGCATACAATGTCGAAAAAAACTTGGCGCCCTGCAGATGTGGAGCTACATCTTCTGGCGTCGGCATGGGATAATGTTCGCGTAATAGACGTTTGTCAAGATTAGATGGGTCTAAGCAAATTCTGACCTTATCTTTGTTTACGACGGCCACCATGTAACCCGACCATTCCGTTGGTTCGTTTACCTTCGTGACGACTTGATCCGCTTCCATGCAGTCTAACTCTGCCTTCTCTATCCTTGAGGGCCACATGTATTCGTCTTGCATGCTTTGACGGTGCCCTTGGATCCTGGTTGTAGCTTCATATCGTAGACCACACTCTTCAGCTGGCCGAGCCCCTGAAAAACTGCTTCAAAAGGTCGTGCTGCACCGTAGAGCTCTGCGGTGCTCACACCCGCAACGCAGGTAATAAGTCCGAGGCGTTCTGCTACACTGCCACTCAAGGTGTCTGGAACCTCTTGGCGTACAACAAAAACCCAGCGTGACATTTCTTGTCTTGATTACCTACATTGAGGCAAATTCTTTCTGGTGCCTTTTCTGCATGACCGAAGAACGTGTTCAGGGTGACGTTGCACTTTACTGTTGGCTTCGTCGTAATTGGCCTAGTGCGGCCCTGGAGACGACACAACAATTGGCTTCGGTATCTATTTTCCAATGAACGGGAACGCCTTCTAGTGTCACCGCAGCCGTCCATAGATCCTCGCAAGATACAGCACCGAGAGTTAGCGCTTCCAAGTACGTCTCGTCATCGCTAGCCACAACCTCGTGTGCTTGCTGAACGGGGGCCCTTTTTTGCCCTGACTTGCAAACTTTCGCGAAGTGATTAAGGCTTCCGCACTTGTTGCATTTCTTTCCGGCGACGGGGCAAACCTTAGTTCTATGTTTCGTAAACCCACACTTTTGGCACAATTATCCGATTTCTTGTACTAAGTTGACTTCGTTTTCGCGTTCCTTTGCTCCGCTTTGTATTGTATTGCATCGTTATTCGCCCTGTTCCCAGGCTCTTCATCTTTCCACTGCTTTGGTGTAGGACAGGTTGTCGGAGATGAGCTTTTGCTGAAGTTTCTTGTTCCGAAAGCCCAGAATGATTCTACTTCTAAGTAGACGTTCTTCGAGATCCCCAAACTCGCAGTTGTTTGCCAAAATACGAATGTCAGTTAACCATTCGCTGAAAGGTTCCCCTTCTTTCTGGTCCCTCGTACCAAACACAAACTCGTTCCAAGTTTGGTTTGTAGCCGGCTTGTAGAAGCTATCAAACTTCCCAATGATAGTCGTCACGTCTTGTCTCTCCTCCTGGTTTACAAACGTAAACAAGCTGAACGATTTCCTTGCATCTTCCCCGACTATCATTAACAGGGTCGCCGCCCGGACTTCTTTCGGTTGATGGCTGAGCAGGGTGGCCGTAGAAAACAGTTGAAACTCACATTTCCAAGTTGTCCAGTTCCGCCACAGGTCCCCCGACGTGTCCAGGGGTTTCGGGGGCTGCAGCACCGTTGTACAGGTCAGCACAATGGCCTGCTGCGGAGACGCCATCGTTTGGGCGGTGTGGCTGTCGCCTACTTTCCGTCGCTCAGCGGCTACTTCATGGATCCGCGGCGCTCGGGCGATAAAGCGCTTCTGACACCATGTGGCTCGTACGCAAGTAGCGATGTCAACAACGTTTATTGCACGCACCATAAGGCCTTATATACAGTATGCCCTAGCGGCGCAGTTGCCGTACCGATGACAAGGCTGCCGATGACAAGGCTGATTTAGTGTCAGCCAGTGGCGCAGTGCTACAGTAACAAAGGTGTCCGGACGTCAGGTCGTCGTGGCAGGCTTTCAAAATCTCCCAAGTTAAGTAGGGATTACCAGCAGCCATGGCTTCTTGTTGTCTCCAGAGTTCCCCTTGTAAAGCACACCTTGTCGAGCGACGAAGGCAAGGCTCGCGAGAGGTCGCGGCAGATATTACCCTTCGTCCCTCGAGGTGCTCGATTAGCGCGCGCAGCTAAGGGTCGTCTTGTTCACGTCGTGCAATGTTGTCGGTGTTCGCTGCGCCTAGAAAAAACTCGTCGTCATCTGTTGTTGCTGCTCCCGGATGGTGTCTCGAAAGGGACTCTGGGCGGGCAGTTGGCGTCGCTGTGCGTGCTGCCTAACTTGTAGACTATTGTTATGTTGAGCTCCGGTAGTTGGAGACTCCACCGAGCGAGGCGTCTTTAAGGGCCCTCGAGGTTCGCAAGCCACAGAGCGAGTGGTGGTTTGTTTTACGCATTCGTTCAATGTTGGATGGATGCGTAAAAATTGGGAAATGCAAGTCAGCGTTAACACGCGAAATCGTAGAAGCCGAGCACATTGATTATTTAGGAGACTCGTCTGTTGCTATGCCGTCGATTGGGTTATAGGAGAAGGCATTGTTTTTCCTCAGAACAACCCTATCGAAAAGACCATCAGGAAAATCCTGATGGTCTGATGGTCTGATGGAGTCGTATTTTGGGGCGTCTGATGGTTCGATGGCCTGATGGTCTGTTGGCCTGATGGTTTGATGGTCTACTGGCCTGATGGTTTGATGGTCTGTTGGCCTGATGGTTTGATGGCCTGATGGTTTGATGGTCTGTTGGTTTGGTCTGATGGTCGAATGACCTGTCGTATTTTGAGACGCCTATTTTTTAACGTTTGATTATGGTGGTTTCATGGCTAATTTGAAACAGTTCGAGTTGGCCACAACTTAAAAAACAACAATATGTGAATGCATAATCTGGAAACTTAATTATGCCATGCCTGGAGCATGACGAGGTGCATATCCCACTTAGAATTTAATTATATTGTCCACTGCATACTGGTAATCGCCAGCGCGACATTTGAGTACGGCGAATACAGCTACTAACAAGAATAAAGACAAACAAGCTGCATTGCTTTGATATTTTTATTATGAAGTTATGAAATCATACATTGTTTCGCTCAGCGGAATGGCTAGGTGGTACAGAAAAACCAGAAACATTTGAGGAAGTACTATTGTGACCAATATTAGTTGAAGCGCCATGGCGCATGGCGTGTGGTACTATCAGAGCCACCTGTCGGATTTTCAGTGAACCTCTGTGTTTCCTGAGGTTTAGGCAGGTTGCTTCTTGCACTCATTGTGCCACTATGAGCTGAAAATTGACACGAACGGCATAGTGGTGCAACGAGCACAAAAAGTGATTTGTTTCTACCTCAACGCATACCAAGGTTTGCTGAACAATCTGAGAGACAACTCTCATCGCGTGCCACGTGCAGTGGCGTTGCAGCTCATATTGGCTGCGATAGTACATTTGTTCCATTTCAATAGTATTGCCAATATATAAATTAAGCTAAATTAATATGAAGAAAAGGTTAAAAAGGCTACAACATGGGGTGCAAGTGATGGCAGACCTGCAACAGCATGGGCAGTCCGTGGTGGGACCACGCATCGGGGGAGGACAGGCAGCAAAGGGATGAGCCTGGACATATCAAGGGCAATTCAGAGATCAGCAATGAGTCCAAACACAGGGCGACCATTGACATACGTAAACAGCAGAGTGGGCCTAGAGACGACTAAGGGGCAGTAAGAGTGACATGCTTCATTGTAATTGTGTGACTATGCAACTTTTTGGAGAGTGAGCGAGCACGGCCGCAACCCACAGCCTTTTTCAAGTGGTCAGCTGATCAACAGACTACTTTAAAGTTGTTTGCATAAACATTTAGATATATTAACCTCTAAATAATTTATCTATATCTATACCATCATTTAAAATAATTGCTTGCAAACTTCAGACCCAAAATAGTATATTACTTAATTAAGGAAGTTAGAGTATAGATGCACATACCTTTGTAGTGATTTCTCTTGAGATTAGACAGCTTTTCTGACAGGTACCGCCGTATCTTCTGGTGCCGGGCTGCCCTTTCAGCCTGGCGGTACCTTTCTCCCTCAGGTGTAGTCAAAAGCAGCCTGGAATATTGAAATTCCAGGGTAATTATTTTTTGCAGTGCTCAGACTTAAAACAATATAGAACGTCATAAATACGGGCTGGAGGGTCATAGTTTGAGAAGACCAAGGGTAAATTAGTCTCAAATAAAAGCAATTAAGTGGCAGCTGGCACCTAACAAGCCTTCAACGTTTCTTAGTATTTACAGTGTTCAGAGATCATCATGAAAGCAAAAGTACCGCAGTATCCTGATTTATGTTCCACTCCCAATAGACAGCTCACCCTGGCTTCTGTTAGATCCTTTTAAGCACAAAACAGGTAGCCTATGTCTATAAATCTCACTGCTAGGCTAGTGACATTGTAAAAAATAGGAGCTACAACTGTAGATAAGTAGACAATGTAAGTTGGAAACTGCTTATACTTGGTTATCATCCCTCGCTGTGGTAACAGCTTAGACACGCCACAGAATTAAAAAATAGCATCATCAGCACCAGAAAGAACAATGCAGTTCTATATAAAAACAATCTTTCACATTCCCTGAAAGATCTTCCATTCATGGCCTGGCTCTAAATTTAAAGGTAATTAAACAGTCTTTCAATGTGCACCTGGTGGAGGCCTCCGAAGCTTCGTTGGGAGGTAATCTAGCAATGTTGGGGATCTTGGACGTAGTCGTGACATGGCGAAAACTGCTATGTAGCTGCACTACACATCGGAGCAGCGCCGCTGTTTGGAGGTATACTCAACTGTTCGAGTAATCTCGCCCTGAACCCGATGACCTTGACATTACTTATCTCACACATAGGCGCTTAGACGGCTTAGTCCGCTTTGGTCCACGTAAAGCCCACAGGTGTTTCAAATGGCTAGGCTGTAACACGTCTACACCACCACTATGCACCCGAACGGCACAGCTCGTAGCCACGCCAGCTTGGCCGGATAGCCCACGACGCATCGAGCTCTCCGTTGACTTCTCTTCGAGCACTTGCTCGAGTTTGTTGCTTAGAACGAAAAATAAAATTATTTGTTCAAAATACAAATGTGTGAATTATTTACGGTTATTATCTGTTATGATTGACTCATTCTTGGCGGGGTACCCCCCTCACATGTCCAGGTGTTAGCAGACAACCTACTAGAGTAAAATCTCGGTGATACTAACTGGTACGAACTTCGGAATAAAACAAAAATAACAAATTCCCCGGCCGAAGTGCATTGCATACGACGTGAAAATTTTTGGGTGTTCCGAATTCCGCTACGCGCTGCGACGGCTGATACGAATGCGTGCTCCACAACTGATAGTGGCAAGGAGGCCACGATCGGCGACTGTAAGCTTTCAAGGCTCCGGGCGGCTGATTGCCTGCTGCTGCCAGGGATCAGCCGCACTTTACCCAAAAACTGGAGCTCAAAATTACATGCATGTTACAATCGGACCCAAAAACCAAAACTAAACAAAATGCTAAAAAAAACTGTGCAAAGTGGCCAGCCCCATCACCATCAACACATGTTTCAAATCCAATCCAATCTGAATCCAAAATCGCTTTTTTGTTTTTGCGATCTCGTGGAATGGTGTTTCAGCCTTGGAAAAGCAAAACCGATTTTACTATAAGGTTACCTCTAAAAAAACAAAGTAACTGCGTTGGCAAAAACAGAAAACCGAGTGATGTTGGTGGCGTCTTCGGTGCGGTCCACGGTGACATGCGAGCTTGGTTGGAAAGACAAAGAAACCGAATTTTTGCTTGCAAGTTTTTGATGTAGGGCTTCAACAGCACATAGTGTGGGCACTTTCCGAGTATGTGCATTTGATAAAATGTTTTCCACAAAGTGTATGTTGCTCAGCCGTCATTATTTTATCTGCGAAGTAGAATCTACATTTATCTGCGCAGTAGAATAGACATTAATTCATTTTTCAACATTCGTGGGTTGATTGTAACCGTGTGTTACTATCGGGGGCGTGTTAGAATCATGTAAATTGCATACAAGATATTTTCTGCCATAAATAAATGCACATTCATGCATTCTTTGTATTTCAAAATATAAATTTTGTTTCGTTTCGTTGATACGAATTTAGCATGAAATATTTTACGCGATTCCGCGAGATTCATATCAAGATTTTAAAAATGTTTGCTTAATGAGAGAGCCTGCACCTTGCGCTGAGTGAGCGGGGCAAACGCCTTCTCTTGCCTCGCTGCCTTTGCCTTGTTGGAGAGGGTGCCGGTCACCGACCTCTCCAAAAGCACTTCCACTCACCCTATGGAAGCAGCAGTGATCTTGCAAAACATGGAGTCGCACTCTGCTTTCCGCATGTTGCCCGCATTCCTGGTTGACGTGCACACCTTGCCCGACATAGATCTGTTATAAACAAAAGCGAGAAACAGCTTCACATATACCAGTCGTTGACGTAGAGTGGTACTGTATACTCCGAGATGCATTGAAAATGCACTAAAGTAATTGCATTAATGAAATTTAGGCCTTTAAATTTAACACAGCACTACACATAAATTCCTATCTTCATGGGCATCTGCGAAGCTGATGGGCCTACAAAGCTTCATGGCATCTGCATGAAACAGCTACATAATCCCTTAGTTGCATCAGGTGAGCATGACAACATAATGTTTTCCAGGCACTGGCTGTAACCACAATTAAGAGCCTGGCTACAATAATGTTTTAATGACTTCTTGTTGCAATCGATTCAATCTACTGTGCTTACATTATCTCAGGAGTGACCAAAGTGAGGCTCGCGAGCTGCACGCGGCTCTTTGCGGGTCCAAGTGCAGCTCGCGGCTCCCTGGAAAACGTGTCCCCTAGACGAAAAGGGTTCTAGAATTTAGAAAGAGCTACAAGTCTTGGCAGCCTGGCAACACACTACATATATACACCTGGAATTCTTTTTGCCACGTAGATGCGTCGAGTGACCGTTTCCTTTATTGTTCTAGAAAGACTTTCAACCGTATACGCATAACAGTTGTCAGGGGCAGCGACTGGCTAGTGAATCGTGTATTAATTTTTGCTTAGCAGTGGAAAGGACCTTCTGATGCATATTGTCATTTGTTGTTATCGCCCATTATACTTGTCCTCTATGGAAATAACTGTTCCCTCCATATTGTTTCTTGTTAAAAGTAGCCCCCCCCCCCCCCCACTTTCTTTTTTCCAGCGACTCTAAACTTTCGTAGTTTTGTCTGCGGCTCTAACTCCATGTCACTCTGGCCACCCCTGCACTATCCTAAACTCTTTTAATGTATATTATACACTGAATGAAAGTGAAAAGTTTTTCTATTTTACCATTCCTTCCTTTTCTGGAGGCCGATGCTAGGATCCACGATCTCATTCTTTGCAAGGATGTCCTCGTCAGCAACTAAAAAAAAACAATATCACATTAAAGAGGTACAGAAACCAAATTCCAGCGTTCATTTTATCACTTGAATGAGTTGCAGGTTGCAACATAACCTCAAAAATACCAGTCTTTTGCTGAAGGGCACAAGCAAACTAATTTTAAAGCTAATCAAACAATCTTTCAATGTGCACCTGGTGGATGCATGTGGAGCCTATTTCGGAGGTAATCTAGCAACATTGGGGAACTTGCTACGTAGTCATGACGTAGGAAGGACATTCCTCGGTCATTCTGCACAGCAACAGAGCGCAGCCACAACAGTAGAGTAGAGAGCTCTTTGCCGTTTATGCCTTCTTTCTCAGCATTATTGTTTCTACCCTTTATGAATGAATATCCTCTATGCAAGATATAAGCCATGTGTTGCATATGACATGTTCGGCTCTATCACCGCACAGCAAACTTCTTTCATATACTGCAGGTTCATTAAAAAAGTTACCTTTTTAATGCTAAAGCATGGGTTCTGTGAGTACGGTAAACATACGAGTACCCATAGGTCAGGCCATAAATGACTTACGTGTTAGGCAGTAGGGCCCTACAGCACCTCCCGCATCAACAGCCGAGCCACAGGTAGTCCTGCAATTGATAGAGCAGGGTAAGTCAGAGAAAGGTGTTTCTAGCAGCTCTGCCGGTGTGGCCCCTAGCAGCATTACTCACGCACATTGGGGTGTAGGCAGAAAGCACGGCATTCCTCATCAACAAATCATGACAACACATTGTTGCCGGCATCAAACTGGATCCCTGTGCTATCTTTCTTTTTTTTTTGTAATTTAGTTGATTCTTTGTTTTCCTTGTCACTCCCGACTGCTTTACTGGCCTTTGTGAAATAAAGAAGGCTAGGTAAACTGCAAAGCCTTGACTGAGTGGTGAAACAGAGCAATCCCAAGGAAGTATAAATGTTAAGGACTCGACATGACATTACGCAGTGTTGGGGTTCCCAAGCTGCTTTCCACACTCACATTTTGTGCACGACCAGCTCTCTTTCTGCATCAGTTGGATTGGTCAGTTGTGTGCCCGTTTCGGTCGCTGCTAGCCATATGTGACTGGCGCTGCTTTTGAGAGCCTTGCAACATCGTCACTTTCAGCTTTTGTCCTGACATAAACCGCATCTAACAATTTCATTAGCGCGAAGATTTAGCTTTTGGACACTCCCAGAAAAAATAGGCTGTACCACATTACATAGACAGGTAATGATATTCTGGTGACAAAATTTTCACAAAAACTGCTTTGCGTTAGAGGGCACAGGGGCTGCCGTTCCTGGGAGGAGCAGCTTTGTGTGAACTTGCAGATGGTTCAGCTGCCTGTTTGCGCCTGGCCAGTTCAGTTGCCATTTCCTCTTGGGTTTCTTGTAGGTACAGTCGGGGACAAAAGTCTCCAGGACACGCAAGCTGCGACTGAAACGCATTCCTCTGCCATCTGCCGGCGGGTCGCCTGGTTTCGAGATCACAGAAGGGCGCACGTGCGTCCTATTGTACCTGCCAACGTGTGCGCTTTCCCGCTCTGCTGCGGCGCGGCGCCTAACTCGGAATCGGGCGCGTGGTACCACTTCGGAGATGGTGCTTACAGACATGGCACCTATAAAGCAAGAAGTCACGGCAGCTCAATTAAGCGATAAGCTGAACTGGTTATAAAGCAAGGTGCGCTGACACGACGAAATGCGGCGCAAAGCCCCAGGCGGTATCTTGAGTTTTGGAATGTGTAGCAGACGCTCGTCAGCCGCCAGCGCTATCTCCGAGGCGGTACCATGTGCCCGATTCCTAGTTAGGTGCTGTGCCGCAGAAGAGCAGGAAACGCACATGTTTGCAGGCAGAGTAGGATGCGCATGCGCTTTTGTGTGATCTCGAAACCAGGCGACCCGCCGGCAGGTGGCAGAGCAATGGGTTTCCGCCGCAGCTAGCACGTCCTGGGGACTTTTGTCTTCGACTGTACATTTGTGATCATGAATAAATAAATTGGTCAGGAAGCAATGGCAGGTGATGCAACATCAATGCAAGCCATGTATTATATGACTCGCATGAATTGACATTGAATCAGCCACGATTGTGCGCCTAAGTTTGTGCTGCGGAGTGCAAGAGATTGGCGCTCTGTCCATTAAATGGACAGAAGCGCCACCAAAGGACTGACACTCACACGTGCTCTTTTTGCACCGAGTATTTCTCGAAGTGCAAGTCATTTCTTCGCGCTGACAGAAACGTCGCCGAGACGAGGAGTGCAGTGGATCGCTGCCTCATTTCAGTTGAAGAATGCTTAACCCAGCGAGTAACATGATTTGATTTCAAAGCCAGGACCATTACGGAAAAGGTTTGTTCCTGAATCTCACCTGAAAACGAATTATCCATCGAACAGTAGCGTTATGATGGTACAGCGACAGAAAAGTTGTCGAGATGAGAGGACAGTCCGATCGCTGCCCTTTGTAGAATGCACAGCCCTGCGAATAAAGATACTTCGATTGGAAAGCGAAAACGTTGCGGAAACAGTTTGTCCATGCATCTCGCCTGAAAACTAATTAATGTGCTATTTATTGAACGGTGCTGTGCCAGTATTGGAGTAGCACATCGACAGGTTCCGTCTCGCACTGGAAGACGGAAACCCAAGATATCTGACAAGTTTGAAAGTTTCTTGTTTTGACAAGCGAGTTCAAGAATGTTGTCTTTCATTTGAATCTAAACAGCATGCATGGTCAATAAATAGATCGGTCAAAGTAACATTCAGCATATCTGGTCGAAGCGAGTCTTCAAACCTTTCACAAATATTAAAACATTCGTAAAAATTTTCTAACGTCGCCGCGCATTTCTTTTCTTTTTTTTGGGGGGGGGGGGGAGGGGGGGGGAGGGGGGTTTTTACTTCACAATTTTACAGAGCCCTTAATTAATTTATCTTCAAAATAATTTTGGCATCCGCGAGATGCTGGGTTCGTCATAAAACTGTGGTCGGAAGTGGCTTATACAGCTCGCCGACAGCTTCGGTGTGTTGCGCTACTGTACGCTATGCTTCGTTTAGTTGCTGCGCTCGGAGTGTGAAACTTGGAACGGTGGAGTACGAGTAAATTAGCGCGGACTTAAGGCACAGGAGCAATGGCGGCTTTTAGGGTGCCATATGATGTCACGTGCAAGGCAGTTCAGTCCACACGCTCAACTGAAGTATTAGCCCATGCATTCATCTGCCTAACTTGGTGCCCCATATAAGCAGTCTACAATATTCACTTTTAATTACAGTCGCAATAAAAAAGAAAGAAAACGGCGATTGCTTGTGGCTACGTCGCACTTTGGAATGGTAAAAAATACACACTCACCCGTCAGTTCGAGGATCTCGGCGTCGTAAAAGCCTCCTCGAGTGTTCGCGTCGCCGTCTCAAGACACCTTGTACGCCGTCCTACGCTCGAAGTCGACCACATTCGAAGGATTGCAGTTTTTAAATAAAGCCCTGTGGACGTCGCTTATTTCTCCGTTCTCGCAAAATCGAGTGAAACCTACCGAAATATCTAAAACCTCGAAAACACTCCACGAGGAAGGGTGAAGCTGCCGAGGCAACAAAGCGCACGAAACAACTGGATTTGGATTTGGATTCGAAGCTTTTGAAGACGCAGTTGCTCGAACGGATATAAGCGGCGAACGTTTTTCAAAATATAAAGTATACATTAAAATTAACGGATTGTCGAGTGTCGAACACTGCGTATGAACTTGAATGAGAACATTTTTGAGAGAAATCGGTCAAGTGTCAACACTGCGTGTAAAGAAACTGGCACCGCAAGTAGCCGATGCGTCGGCAGTGACAGTAGCCAATACATTAAAGACTAACTCATAATTTACGCGACCTTCGACAGTCCTCCGCCCGTGGTGCGGAGAAAGAAGAAGACGCCGTTCCAAACGGACGCTTTTCAATGTTCTCCAAGGAAAACTCACCGGCCACAGGCCGGGGAACTGTTGAGGCTTCGGCCGGTACTAAGGGAACTATGACTGAAGAATACCGGACCATCCTGCCACAATTGCCAACAGGAGAAATGGTGAAGAACAGCGTGGTGTTGCACTGCGACACCGGCGGACGCCCATACCGGGCCGAAGATTTCGTACGACCGTTACAACAGGCTGGAGTATTGTCGGAGTTGGCGGGTCTCGGAGCCTATCAGATGGGTCACGTGTGGCTCCTCAAGTTGAAAACACCAGAGGCCAAGGAGAAGCTGCTGCAAGCCGGTGAAATCCAGGTGAAGGGGCGTCGCTGCCTAGCGATTGACCCATATCGGAGAGAGGTCAGGGTGAAGCTGCATTGGGTGACCTTTGACGTGCCCGTCGACACTGTCCGCCGCGCTTTCGAACCGTACGGCGAGGTAAAGAGCGTCGTTCGTGAGATGTGGCAGGTGGACGGACTCGTGGGCGTCGAGTCTACAACGCTGTCCGTCGTCCTAACTCTCCGCCAGGACCTAACACTGGAGAGCCTGCAGCACCAGCTTCGATTCTACGGGGGCACGGTCCTGGTAGTGGTTCCGGGGCGTGCGCCCGTGTGCCTACGTTGCCGACGCATTGGGCACATACGGCGTGAGTGTAGGGCGCCTTGGTGCTCAGAGTGTCGTGGTTTCGGGCACGAAAGCACGGACTGCACCCGCAGGTATGCCCGGGCTGTGGCAGTGCACAACGATGGTGGCGGCGTCAACGAGGAACTGATGGACGAGGTCGAGGCCGAGGAAGCTGCAAGCGTGGCCGGGGGTGCGAAGAGTGAAGGTGCACACGGTAGCAACAGTCAAGCACCTACTGGGGCACCGAATACCACGGATGAGGAACGGCAAGGAAAGTCGGAGGCTGAGCAGACTTCTTCGACGACGGAAAGTAGCGAAGACAGGACTGTGCCTGGATCTGATACAACAAAAACCTCCGAGGGCGAGAAACACGGCAACGACATGGACTTCAACCCGGCGATGATTAAGCGAAGACACGAAAGGGCAGATGCGGCTGTGGCTCGACCAGGTGAGCAGCCTCGGCAGAGCTCGCAACAAGAGGGGGACGACGTCAAGAACAAGAAATGTCGCGGAGGGTCACCAAGGCGGTCATCGTCCTTGTCTCAAGGCAGCCCGCCGCCCCAGTAACTGTTTGTTATTGAGGCATGATATGCTCTTTGTGCGCACACGCAAATGACCACACCAGTCCTTGAAAAGCCATTGCGTGTAGGCACGTTGAATGTTCGAGGTCTAAGTGATAGGCGTAAGCAGTATCAGCTGAATCGCCTGTTTATTGACCAAGAGCTGGACATAGTCGCAATACAAGAGACAAAGGTGGAGAGCGACGAGCGCACTCAGAGCATGTTACGACCCTTTACATCGCGGTACAACGTTTGTGTAAGTCATGCAGTAGGAACTTTCGGAGGTTGCTGTTTGTTCTTAAAGGACTCAATAGGTATAACTGTAGAGTCTGTCGTCACATGTCTAACGGGTAAGCTTGTGATTTGTGATTTCACATACTATTTGAGACACTGGCGTGTTATTTGTCTGTACGCGCCGAAGTCTGCAGTGGACCGCAAAATCTTCTTTGAATTTGTCCGTGGCTACTGTATGTGCGAACGTAATGTTATTTTACTAGGAGATTTCAATTGTTCAGCAAAAGATAAGACCGGAGTGACCCCGTACAGAGATGCTGGCACCTTGGTATTGAACGACATCGTCAGCGAGGCAGGTGTTTATGACGTAGCGGAATGCATCGGTCACGTGGGAACTGTTCAGTACTCTCATTTCCAAGGAATCAGCCACTAGACAGAGTTTACATATCATTAGAACAAGTGCTAGTCTGCAACGAATATCAAGTAGTTCCGGTTTCGTTCAGTGACGACTGCTTAGTTTCTTTTGTTTTGGGAAGCACGCATAGGCGACCAAAGTTTTCCTGGGAACTATGGAAGTTGAACTGTCGACTCCTAGACGACGAAGGGTTTACAAAATTGGTACGAGGCCTCTCAAACAAGTTAGAAGAAGTTTCAAGCAACTACGCAGCAGAATGGGAGGGTTTTAAAGAAGAGTTTAAAATGATAACCATAGGAAAAGCCTGTGCTGTAAAGGCACTTCAGAGACATGAGGAGGCGATCCTGCACAGAAACTTTCAAACGCTCATCAGAGAAGAAAGTAAGTCACCGGGCGAATTCAAAAACGATATACGTGAATTGAAGGAAAAAATGGAAGTCCTTGATCAAGAGCGTTATCACGGAGTTCTTATCAGAGCACGAGCAGAAAAGTTCGCTGTAGGGGAATTTCCGACAAAAAAGGCGTTGGGCATGGAAAAACGTTATGCACGAAAGAACACTATCAGCGAAATCGAAAAAGATGGAAAAATTATGAAGGACCAAACAGATATTGAACAAGCGTTTTTTGAGTATTATTCAAACTTGTTCGCGCACAGCCCAGTGAAAGTGACAGAATTTATGGAGGAGTTCTTAGTGCTTTTGCCGAAGCTAAATGAGGAAACTAAGGAATTTCTTGAGATGCCGATCACCGTAACAGAAATAGTGAAAGCGATAGACGAATTGAGCCCTGGAAAAACACCTGGACCCGACGGAATTAATGCAGCTTTCTATAAGACCTTTAGAGATGAAGTTGCGCCAGTGCTACACATTGTCTTTAATGAGGCCTATGAAGGAAAAAAACTACCACCCTCCTTTGTGAGGTCTCACACGGTGTTAATACCCAAGACCGAAGATATTGTCAAATTGCGTTCGGTTACATCCTATAAGCCAATCAGCTTAACAAACGTAGACTACAAAGTATTAATGAAGATTTTGGCACGACGGCTTCAAGGAGTAATAAGAGAAATAGTTGGTTCACACCAAACGTGTGGAATAAAAGGAAGATCGATAACAACAAACATTCACACCGCTCGAAGTGTACTAGAATGCTGTGACGCAACGAATGATAAAATTGCAATGCTCCAGATTGACTTGGAAAAAGCATTCGATCGTGTGTCACATGAGGTTTTGATGGCGATAATGGAATATGTAAACGTAGGCTCCGTAATTATAGAGGGTGTTCGTATGGCGTACGAGGGATGCACGACAAGCCTGGTTGTAAACAAGTCAGTTGGTAAACGTATTGGCGTCCTCCGGTCCGTGCGACAGGGTTGCCCTCTGTCCCCGCTTTTGTTTTGCATATACATATAGTCTTTCTGCTTGAGCGTAGTTAAAAGCAGCGTCATTTGTGGCTTTAAGCTACATGCTTCCGAGGTGCGAGTACTGGCCTACGCAGACGATATCGCGTTGTTCTGTGCAAACAGAGAAAGCGTACGAGAGGTGATAGCATTAGTAAAACGTTTTTGCAATAGAAGTGGTAGTGCCGTAAACTGGGAAAAGTGCATAGGTTTTTGGCATGGGGAGTGGGACATGAAGCCCAGTGTGTTTGAAAACGTCAAATGGGTCTCGTCTCCGGTAAAGTATTTAGGGGTCCCCCTGGAAAACTATCGGGACAGCGACCCTTTTTGGAGGACCCAGGTAGTCGAATTGCAAGGAAAAGCTGAGAAGTGGAGAGGAAGGGATCTGTCGGTATTTGCCCGATCCACTCTTTGCAATGTGTTCCTAATAAGTAAATTGTGGTATGTGCTTCAGGTTTTACATTGTTCCAGGGTGAATATCCAAAAAAATGCATCGGGTGTTTGCGGTCTTCATTTGGGGCTTTTCCTATGAGCGCACGAGCCGGACTAGTCTTTTTCGCAGTGTGAGTGATGGAGGCCTGGCGCTATCTCATTTGTTTTTGAAGCAGCTGGTAAATCGTTTCCTTTTCTTACGTAAAGTCAAGGACCCGTTTTTGAGCACAGTTTGTCAAGTGCGATTGTGTAATGTTCTGCCTGAGTTCATAGTATCGTCAGAGTATGGAAATGGTGGGTGTATTTTCGGTTATATGCGCGAAGTGGTGGGAGCGTACAAATTCCTAAGAGCACGCTTTTCGTTGGAATATCTGAGTGAAGTCACTAGGAAAAGGCTGTACCAGGACCTTGTTGACGTTACCCTGCCGGTTCCACTGTATAGAGCTCTGTATTCTACAGGTTGGGGACAGGATGTACTGAAACGCGTTAAGAATATGTCCGTCCCAGCGTGCATCAAAACCTTCTTTTTCAAGTTGCACACCGGTACTCTGCCTGTTAAAACGTGGATGGTGGAGAGGGGTATATTTGTCGCGTGGGGTGACCACTGTTTTTTGTGTAAGAAACCTGAGTCAGTTGAGCACGTCTTCTTGGACTGTTGGGAGGCTATATTTTTCTGGGATGTGTTGCAGCGTACTCTAAAAAAGGAGTTTCCTCTGGATTCCCATGGCATACGGTTCCTAGCAGTCGAAAACGATAATTGTGTGCCTTTCGATCTTTTCATGTTGCTCGGCCTTCACATC